AGAGGGCGACGGCCATGCTGAGGAGGCGCGGCTCGAGGAGCGGATTGGTGAACTTGACCGGGATGCTTCGAGCTTGGGAGACCAAGTTGCGGCTCTTGAGGCCACGAAGACGCAGTTATTGGCTCAAGCTCCCCCTCAAGAATCTGCCTTTGCTATTGTTCCCCGCCGTCTGTATGAGCTATGGGTCCATGCTGAGGCCCAACGTGATATATACAAGGGTTTGTGGGAGGCAGGGAGCATTCCTTAGGCCGCTTTTGAAGATGCTCGGGCGAAGGCACGTGAGGCTCGTCTCGCCTGTGGTTATGACCCTGCGACACCGGAGGCCGATGAGGGTACTGAGATTGATGATGAACTTCTTTCTAATGACGACGATGATGGGGAGAACGGCGGTGGAGATGATGCCGAGTGAGGAAATTTTTGCAGCTCTTGTACTTAGTTTTTTTTTTGTGGTTTGTTTTCATCTTTTTCTTGGGCGCCTGCTTTTGGCCCTTTGTAAGGCGCAGCTATTGCGCATGTACATCTTCTGAATAAAATAGTCATTCTGCTTCTGGTTACGTATCTTTTGACATTCTTTCTCTTTCTTTTTTGAAAAAGATCTTCGGATCTCCCCACGATGAGTCCCTCATTCTTAATTGGGAATTCGAATGCGGTTTTACTTCACTTGATTTGAGTGAGGTCGAAGTCAGACAGGCCAACTCGGGCGAAGTCAGTTTTGACTTGTAAATTCGAGCGAGGTCAAAGTCTGACTTGTCAACTTGGGCGAAATCAGTTTTGACTTGTAAGCTCGTATATTACTTCAGCTTGGTGATGGCCAGGGGCCGTAGGGGCGTCAATTCGAGCGAAGTCAAAATATGACCTGAGGTCGAATTGTTACCCGTTATGAATTCGAACCAGATCGAATTTAACTTACTTGGCGATGGCCGATGGCTGTAAGGCTGTAAATTCGAGCGAGGTTGATATTATAACCCGTTGTGAGTTCGAGCGAGGTCGAACTTTCTTTTCACTTTTCGACGGTCGATGGTCGTAAGGGTGTAAATTCGAGCGAGGTCGAAATTATAACCCGTTGTGAGTTCGAGCGAGGTCGAACTTTCTTTCACTTGGCGACGGCCGATGGACGTAAGGGTGTAAATTCGAGCGAGGTCAAACTTTCTTTTCACTTGGCGACGGCCGATGGCCGTAAGGGTGTAAATTCGAGCGAGGTCGAAATCGTAACCCGTTGTGAGTTCGAGCGAGGTCGAACTTTCTTTTCACTTGGCAACGACCGATGGCCGTAAGGGTGTAAATTAAAGCGAAGTTGAAATCGTAACCCGTTGTGAGTTCGAGCGAGGTCGAACTTTCTTTCCACTTGGCGATGTGCGGGTTTGGAGGGATAGTGAGATTTGTCCGTTGCATTACTTTTATTGGAGAACATTACTCATTGCCGCAGATTTTATGCGTGCGTCGGGGTGAGTCCCAGTTTGTTCAATTTTTCTTTCATTGGAGAGTACTGTGCGTCGGGGGTGAGTCCCAGTTTGTTTAATTTTGTTCTCATTGGAGAGTATTGTGCGTCGTTGCATAGTTCGTAAGCGTCGGTGGAGTCCCGGTTTATCTGGTCCCTTCGTTGCTCGGCCTGGAGAGGCCATTGGCGGGACAGACGATGAACTTATTGCTTGGTTTACTGGGCACCTGGGACTTCATCAATTCAAACAACGTTCGGACGTGACTCATAATATTTAATCGGTTGAATTGGCGTCGGATTGTCGTGGCGAGCATACGTGCAAGCTTTTCGAGCTCATGTTCTGCCGGTGTTGGAGAGACTATACGTTCCATGGACCTATTGCTCAGTCCCAGGTTCTGGAGATTATTTCTTAATAATGTTGGCCTTTTCTGAGTCGTTTCTGTTATTTGTAATATGGTATGGCGCAAAGGGCTTTGTTCGGTCATTGTCTGCGAGATGATACGGTACAGAACGTTTTCCTGGTGTGTTTGGTGGCGTTCGTTCCTTGTTCATGCACCTGTGAGAATGCTCGTGTTCCTATTCCGAAACCAAAAATAGAGAAAGTATGATAAGTTAAACCCAAACGAAATTGCCTGTTACCTTGACCTGGTAAGTCGGTGAAGGGGGGAGGGAGTTGTAGGGCTACTTGCTTCGTCCCGTGCTCGCATGGCGGTTTCAGATTTGGCAGCCGTGTTTGGCTTCGTCGTTAGTCGCGTCTAGTCTTCTCGTGGGCTGAACTTACTTTGCCCGTCGGGATCTCGAGACTGAGTCCCAATCTGATCCCGTCCGACATGCGCAAACAATAAGGGAAACATGTCTACTTGTTCATAAATTGCATAGTGCGTACGGGTACGAAAATAAGGCAGGATACGCCCGTTATTTCAAAGAATCACACAGTAGGCTATTGTCCCTTCCTAAGAGGTGGGAATACAGGTCGGCATACAAAGTGAATACGACAAATAGGATTGCGGTCATGCTAAGTGCGTAATGACCGTGATCCCAATTCGAACATGCATATGACGTGCCAAACCCATCTTACGAGGCGTGGATTTTGTATAGATATCGGACATAATTTCGATTTCACGCAAAGATCTGATCCTGGTTGGTTCGGTTACTTCAAAGCTTGCCTACAACTTTCTCAAGTTGGTGTTTACACAGAGGGTGGGGCTATAGCCACCGGGAAGCGGAACTCTGACTTTAGATCTAGAGGGAACTAAAAATTTGGCTAAGAAATCCCCACAGACGGCGCCAAATTGTTTGACCAAAAAGTGTCAAGCTTTTTGTTAAACTAATTAATGATGAAATAGAGGGTAAATCTTAACCAAGGATAATTAACTCTAGATCAAAGCACGTTAAATACAAAAATAAAACATAATCAAGCTTATAACCTTTCTAAGATTATAAAAGATATCAAACATAAACGATAAGCTTACATTCTTGACGTATTGTTCCATAATGTAAGAACAAAGAAGAAAAAGAAGGAACGCCATTGACAACTACAAGATCTATCTTTATTGATTCAGCAATGACGATTACAAAGATTTGCAACCAAGATCTAGACTTTCGCTATATTTTCGTTAGAGATCTTCTCCTGTTCTTCTGTCCCTTTTTCTTGAAGGAGAGAAGCCCCCCTTTTTTTGTCCTCTTACCTCCTATATATATTATAAGTATTCCCTTTTTTCCAACGATCTTTAGCCAGAATACCTTAATCTCTTGATTGTACTTTACGTCGCTCCCCTTAAGAATCACGACACGTACTTTGCCGTACAAGCTTTAGTGGTTCGATCTCGACAGCGGGCGAGATACTCGTCGTTATTATGCCTTATAGATATGACCACGACTTAGTCGACCCCTTGCTATTTCTTTTAGCGCTAATCTACGCATGGTTAGATTTTGACCCATGTAACAGCAACATGAGAGTTTTTCTTTTTTTTTTCTTCGGGAATATAAGAAATAGTAATAAAGATTAAATCTGTTTGAGGATAATCTCATTGCAATGATTGTCGACTGGTCTTTCTTGGGGAGTGCTGACTCTACTATGGGTCAGAGCTTGCTCAAGTCTGTTTAATTCAATTTGACATTCTCAAGGCTTAGAGAGAATAAGAATAATCTGAAAATAGAAAACGCCTGAGAAAAGGATATTAATCAAAAGAAAGCCAGTGTTTTTGGTATTTACCCTTCGCCTACAGATTTTGCTGACACACTTTTCAAGTATTACTCAGTTTATCAAATAAATATAAGATACGACATTTATCTTATTGTACTGCATAAAGATATGATTGAACGATTGGTTGTTGTTGGTTTCTTCGTTAATAAGCTAGTACAACAACAACAAATTGAATGGATTTTCACAAGTGGGATCTGGGCGGGTAGAGTGCACGCAGACCTTACTCCTATCTTAGGAGGACAGATATATTTTTCCGTTAGACTCTCGGCTAAAGAAAAAAATAAAAAGAAACAGTAACAACTAACAATAACAATAATAAAATATTAAGAAAACCGAAGGTTAATAAGCTATTAAGAAATAAAATAAATTGCATTTGAGATATATAATATCAGAAAATATGGAAATATTATCAAAGTAGAGGAAAGGAAATGGTTTTTTTGGCTTGTTGGTAGCAGTGAGATAAGGTCTTGCTCATGAATTTGGTAATCATTCCTAATGCTAATTTTATACTATTATTTTGTTAGTCATATGTCGCACTATTTTTGTCTTGGCTGAAATAGTTGAAATAAGACAGCATTCATCTTGGATTGGAGTTACTACTTACATGTTTTTACCAGTGATCAATTTTGTATTTGGCTTCCGTACACAGGGACGGAGCTAGAGCTTCGACAATGGTTCGTTTGAACTCAATAACTTTAATACAAACTATATATATTTTTTAAAAATCCAATTGAATAAGCATAAATTCTTACTTTAGAACCCACAAACATAAAAAAGCTAGAATCTCGTATCCAGTAACTTCAAATACTAGCTCCGCCTTTGTCCCTACACCAACAGTGCAGGTGAAGAGAGAGAGAGAGATTAAACTAATAGCATTCCTAATTAATTATTGCTGAACCATATTTTAGCATTTCTTAGTGGGTAATAGGTAGTATTATTTTACTAAATAAAATGTAGATTAACCAAACAGTTGACAAAATCTTTTGATAGACACTTTTCAATGCTCGAAAGGTCGAGAAGCTACAAAGTTAGCCCCAACAAGAAGAATCATTTCAAAATAACAAAAAGAAGGGTAAAGGAAGATGAGCCTTCTGCAGCCATTGATAATGAGCAATATGATTCTTAACCTTAGAAAAAGGGAATCAAATCAAAGCATATTTATTTTAGCTCAATGAATGTGACTCCCTCTCATATTCCTCTATCTTAAGAAATATTCTTTCAAATATTTTATCTTCTTGATCAACCCTTTGTCTTGTAATTTTCAAAATTGTCAAATCTCATCCGACACTCAAGGAGATTTTTTTTTTTTTTGGGGGGGTTTGGGGGGGGGGGGGGGTAGTGGTAAGATGGGGGAGAGAAATAAAAACCAATTCTTATCTGTTTAAGGAAAATCCATCATTTTCATGCATTCATGAAAATGAGAAACATTCTGTACATAACTAAGATCAGAAAGGTCTTGTACAGTAAAGTTTAACAAATCCAAAAATAATGAGGAAAAAAACATAAACACTATTACTACAAGTAAAATAACCACTCCCCTTCTATTTTTCCCTCACATTAGGGACCAAAAGGAAAAAAAAAAAAAAGGAAAAGATAAAGAGGCAAAAAATTTCTTCAAATTGACAAACTCATATGCATGTAGATGCTTTTGAGGTGCGTTTGTTCATTCCAAGTATTATTACAATTGCTGTTATATCATCATGATATTTCCTTCTCCTACCAGCTGGGATGCTCATCAACTCTTCCCTACTAAATCCTGCAAATTGATGGAAATTTGATTCATATTAATTTAGTAGAAATATTCACAATTTTATATGTCCTCAATGATTAGCTCATCAAGAAAATGCAAATGGGACGCGGAAAGACCTTATATTCTATTCTTCTGCTGAGTTCATTCTAATAACAACTAGAGCTTAAAAAAGTGCTTAGTCTGTAACCAGTTATGTTTCTTCTCTAAGATTATCTGGTTTCATTGACTTCTTTAAACCAATAAGGATGCAACCAAAAGTGCTGACGGGCGAAATAGTAGTCTAATGGATTTTATTATAGGATTAAATTCATAAAGAGCCAGAAAAGAAAGTTAATGTGGTGGGATGGAGACAGAAAAGTGATGCAGCGCAACAATATTGTACCTGCACAATCTGCTGCTCGCATCACAAGCTGCTCCACTAGAAATTTGGCTGGATCACCAGAAGGGTGACGTAGGATATAAGAATGGACAAGTTTAACAACCTCATCATTGCTGAAGAAGTCAAATAAACCATCACTTCCAAGCACAACAAACTGATCTGAACTTGAGATTTCGTGTACAGTCATATGTGGTTGTACAGAAACATATGGTGGACTGATCAGATTACGGACTCGAAGAATTCCCATCAAAGCATCATTCATTGATTTCTGCAAAAAGACATTGGATTGTTAAACATTCGTTTCATAGGTAAGCAGGACAAAAAAGATTGTATCAATATAGGCATTAAGGGCGTGACTCGACATGATTGCTATGCCTTGTTGAAGAGAAGTCTCTCAACATAATTGGGTACGCTAACAAAATCTCTGATATCCAGAGGCAGATCTAGTACGAAATTGTAGTGTCAGAAGTTTAGAAGTGGGATTTCAACTGTATAACTTATGATGCGGAGCATAAATTTATATGTATAAAAATTCATTATAATTGCAATAAATAGTAGATATGAACCCATAATTTTAAAAGTTTGGGTTCAATAGTAAGAACCTTAAAGACTGAACTCATAGAGTTCAAATTCTCAAATTCTGGATTCGCCTCTACTGATATCCGTATCAATTATAACCAAAACTGAATTTTCTTTGAGATAATCGAGCAAAATTAGGCTTTACCTCTGTAAACATGGACAAATACTTCCGGTATTAAGAATAGCAAGGTAAGTGTAAACTGACTAAAAGTAATCAAAACTGAAGTTGTACCTTTTTCAAATAACCTACTCCAAGTGCCCGAGTAACCTTTAGCTTTCCCTTGACTTTCCCAGCCACGATTGTTTTGGGATCATCAGGGTGTTCCTTTAGTAGTCGAGTTCTTTCGGATTCATCATCAACACTATGGCAAGCAGTGAGCTGCACAGCCTGCAACACTTCATCGTTACATTGTGTTGCCAATACAGCTCGACTATCACCTACGTTGAGTACGTACATGTTTTTCCCGAGGAGAAGCACAGCTAAAACACAGCATCCAATGGATACCAAGTCCGGGCGGTCATCCATTTCCTGTTCAACCATATGGAGGAAATCGTTCTCAGCTTGAAAAAGAGCTTGTTCGAGGCTCTTCAGCACCTTCTGCTTAAATGAGTCACATGATTTTTCCACTTCCGCAAAGCGATCAACATATAATCCCTGATTAATGCTAGATTTTCCATCTTGAACGGCGTCGTGGAGGCTTCCACGTAAACACAAACGGTCAGAAAGTTTACCAGACTCCTGTCCCATTTCCCAATCCAATAAATTGAGGTGATTTCCAATTGTATCATATAATGTACCGGCCAGATAGTCAGCTGCATCTCTTCCATTAAAGCCATCATATATGCCGCAGAAAAGTGACCCATTCTCTTCAGAACAAACAGCCTGAACTCTATCTTCACCTGCTGCACCGCCTGCAATTTTAACTTCTGTTGCATTAAGGAAACCTTCACTTCTGGGAGGAGCACTCATTGACCTCAATGAAAATAAATCGTCGTCAGGGAGCTCACTTGGAGAGGATGGACTACCACTCAAGATTGACAAATTGCTCTGAAATGAAGATGACAATAAATCCAATCTTGAGAAAGACGGTGAAGAGGGAATCCGGCGGAAAGAAGTAGGTGAATCCAAGGCTGGAAGTATCTCAGCTTCAAACAAGCCATTGCAAATATTTGTGTTAGCTAGTGTGGCGTTGGCACTTAAAGCCGCACCGGACAAGCAAGAGAAGGAATTGTTGGCTCTTTGAAGTTTAATTCCATGGCAGTTGTGAATACTGTCTGAATCGTCACCCGAATCATCTGTGCAGTGATAGCCAAAACTTATTTTGATTTCTCCTCCTGAGTCAGCTATTGTTTGCCCATACATCATTTTTGCCTGAAAACAAGTCAACATAACCAAAAAGATAATGTACTACTATTTGTTAAGAACTTCTGCAGGCGAAGAACAACAGAGCATCTTTTACAGGAAATTAGACTTCTTCTTGATGTGAAAAAAAATGCTTAAGAAACTCCGTTATGCTTATGACCAACCCTAAAATGCTTACACAAATAACGCAGCTCAGGAAAACCTACGAGCTAGTTAACAACGAAATCCTACAGTTTCTTTATTTTCTCCAGGGAGGGAACTCAACAAAGGCAATGATAGAGTTGAGAATAATCAGGTAGCGAAAACAAGTGCTATTTCAAAGTAAAAGAATCACAAGGAACAAGATTGAAAAGAGTGAAAAATCGCTCCTCCTTAGCTTGCCCTTGATTTCAGATGGAAAAAACATCAATTATAAATAGCTAGGAGACCTTCTCTGTAATATATGGTCCATTTGTTTCAGGGTACATAATTTTCCAGAAGTATTCCTGAATGGACCAGAAGGTAAAAAGCCATTGGATTTTACAAATAGACCTCAATCCTAAGCAAGCAGCTATATGAATCCGCACTGCTCCTATGTCTCCATTAAAGTTCAAAGCTATTGGATAGCCAATTTTTCCTATTCTGCAGGCCAACTAGTAGAACATCACATTACATCCATCTTAAGAATATAAAAGCTTAAAAATAGAAGCCAAAAGCCAAGAACAACATAGAACATAACAATAAAGAAATATGAATAAATTGGTAGCTTGTCCATTAATTTAACCCTAGATAGAGTTGAATGATTATGAGAAACAGTCCCTCTACCTTCACAAAAGCTGCTTTCAACCTGAGGTTAGGTTTGTTACTCTTTGAGTACATGGGGTCGGTTGTACTCATACTGCACTTCCTGCACAGTGCGTGCAGATCCCGGATGGCGATGTTGCTATGTTCGATGGGTCAGGCTGTGTACATAGTATCTCCCAGACCCCCCCCCCCCCCCTTGTGCGATTTAACCGGGTATGTTATTGTTGTATAGAGTTGAATAATTAGCCAACGCATGACAATACAATAACTCGAAATGTCTTAAGATTAAATTAGATCACCTCAATAGCTTCTAATTTGTCACTCTCCAACCCTTATTTTCCACAATAAATTATAAAATAAAGAACAAAGCTTTTCCATGAAATAAAGATAATTTCAGCATTTGATTTTCAAATTAGCCAATGTCAACTGTATCTAGCAAATCTGACCTCTAAGATGGCAAACCAGAAAAAACAAATTCCACCAACCAACAAAGCTAACTTAATCAATCAAGAACACCCAACAATTTGCATATGAACCAAGAAAAGAAAATAATTGAATCCAAGAACTAACCTTTATTGATTTTGCAAAAGCTGAAATTTGCTGTTTGTATCAAGAAAGTTAAGATTATATGCAGTGAAGAAGGTAAAGTGGGAAAGTTGAAGATGAGAAGTCTACGATAAATTGGATGGTGAAGAGGAGAGTCGACTAAATATAGAAAAAAGAGTGGTGGGCTTGGGGGTGGGGGGTGGGGGGTG